ATGTCACAAACCCCTTGTCCCCCCCCCCCCCCCCCCCCTTTTTATGAAGGGCTACTTTGTTAATTAAGCTTTATTCCAGTTCCCACACCAGCAGGCTTCTTTTTAATCCCTACGTCATTGCTGTGCATTTTGCTGTGGCTAGCATCGATGAATGAATGATGGATAACATTCTCACTCTCATATATACTGAACAGCATAAAAAATACACTGCATGCTCATTATAGACATGCAAACACATGAGGTCTGTTTCAGAAGTGTTACCGATATCTGCAATTATCAGAACTTAAATAATTGCAGAAAAAAAGATCATGAGTTACTCCAATACCTCTGCTTCACTAGACATGCAAATACGGCTTCACGTATTGTAAACCAACTTCCACTAGAATTTCAAGTAGCCATTGAGAACACTTTTTTCCTCTAGACTTTGAAAAGTTTGTCTTTTAAGAGACACAGGCATGGAGAAATGCGATTCAGTGGTCTGACAACTTCACAAGAACAGAGGTGAGCGATAGCTTATCTACCTTAAGAATTAACATTCTGCTCTGAAGACTACCATCAGAAGTTCAAAGGTGTCTCATGTATGTTGTATTTTGTCAGTTTATTACAGAGCCATTTAACAAAGTGATATAAAAGGGAATACAATTTGGAAACTGTTAGTGTAGAGAACGAACTTTGGATTGTCAAATGAGGTGCTCATTCTCGGTCCCAGCTCTGCCTGTTTCATGTGTTCTTGATGAGGAAGGGGGGAGGGAATCCAAACTCTTTGAATGCTTCAGTTTTCCCACTCAGAAAATTAGGACAAAGTACCTCCGCTAATTTACAATGAGGCTGTAGGTAATAAGCAACTAATGCTCAGGAAATTTCCTATGTGTGTGAAGTGCTACAGATGTTTATGTGTCTGTAGGTTTGCAGAACACTTTGAACACACACCCATCTACAAAGAGCAGACAGAATATGAACAGAGATGATCTGCTGAAAGAAAACAAGTTGCAAGCATGTATGATGGAAACTGGGTGGCAGCATGCAAGTGAGATGAAACTCTTCTGGAGTATTCTGCAAAGTCCTGTTCGTCCACAGTGCTTTTGCCCTTCCTCCTCATCTTTTTGGAGCTCACCTGATCATCAGCAATTGCTTTAGCAAAGCGAGCACAATCTAGCTGTAGATAAATGTCAGTCAGTTGGTCCAACAGCTTCTTTGGTTCAAACCCGTATTTCTCAGGGTTTTCAACTTTCAGGTCACGGCACTTGGGGCCACACAGTTGCTGTAAGTTAAAGTTCAGCATAGCAGCCAATCGCGGTCCAAGTTCCTACAAGACCAAAGTAACATACTGATGACAGCGTGAAGGCAGTGATAAAGAAAATTATCACTAGATTTGCATACAGCAAGATCAGGAATTATTAACTAACAAAATTATCATTTTGTAGGCTTGCTTGCAGGAAGTCTCTTTTCTTTATGCATGCTTTCCATTAAAAAAATGTAATGCAGACAGCTTCCATCTGGAAGGATCACACCATCTCAGTGACTCAGGTAATGCTCTTAACATCAAATAACTTCAACAGCAATTAGATTTCAGTGAGTTGGAGAAAGGGGAGGAGAGTGGAGACAAAGAACTACCGAACATTTCCAGGTTATTATCCAACAATAGAGACATTAGAGAAGCTAGAAACCAAGTTAAATCTGAGCAGGACTTACAGGTCTGAGAAAAGGCTTTTGAACCTGCTTCGTAAGGATATGGAACATATCAACAGTTTCTGTTGCCAGGGCAAGATATGAACGAGACACGCGCTCATCCTGAGCTAGCTGTGACTGCCGAGCCTGTTGCTGATCCTAGAAAATAAACATTCAGTGGTTACAAGCCCACAGAATTTCCTACATCACCACCCATCAAAACCTTAACAGCCATAATGCTAACATGATGTAGACCGACAAAAGAACAGACTGCAATTCAAATCCAGATGTGATACATTTTTCACTTTAAGGTACAGCTCACTTTTACTACCCAATACTGAAGTCTGCACCAATTTTCCAGAATTCTGCAACTCACAAAAAATGAATGTAAATGGTATCACAAGACTCCACGGTTATTGAGTCTGTTTACATCCTGTAACTGCTCCTCACAGCTGCAGAACTGGGTTATGCTTCCTTTCCATCCAAATGCCAATACTTCAAAACCAGCTTGGGATCTGAGAGTCAAGTGAGGTGTTCTCTAATTTATGCACCATCGTAAGTAATAAACACTCCACACTGGAACAATCTGTAGATGATGTACCAGCTCATTTTGTCACTACAGTAATGGCTTTACCTTGCTAGTAGGCACAAACAGGAAGAGAGGCTTCAGAAGAGCAAACCAGAGTAAGTCTAACAAACACGATTTTTATAGCTTTTCTTTTCAAACCCTTTTTTGTTTTGTTTTAAAATAATAAAAAAAAAAAATCAATAACCTTAAAATAGAGATACCTGACATTGGTGGGTCAACACACACAATTATTGTTTAATCAGGCTGATGCATAGGACTCTAATTGCCTGCATTGAATCTACCCAGGATCAATGCATTAACAAAATAAAAGCTTCTATTCCTTGAAGTCAATTCAACTGGCGAGCATCTTCCAAAACCTCCTTCAAGAAGGTTAAAGTCTTAGTTTCTCCACTTAGAATTAAGTGCACAGTAATTTAAAACTTTATACTATTTCCACTTCACACCACACTCTTTGCCAGCCACAGCATAACTACGCAGAATGATGTTTTTTGCAGAATGTCATCCAGAGTGACCACGGCCATACTGGCAGCAAGAAAAAGCATCGAGAACTGCTTCTCATGAGCAGCTCTTTGGTGCTGCCCCTTATTAAAAAGTTTTTTTAATGGTCTTGTATTAAAAAATTAAAAATAAGTAAAGGGCACTTTGAAAAACAGCTCTGTTCACCCTGGGCAGCAGGTCCCATTGTTCTTTATTCTTCATCTCCTCTTGCACTTCATGGATACGTTTTAGGGACTCCAGACTCTCATCCAGCAAGAAAGTTGTGTCATTTATCAGCATGTTGATGTAGCGAACAAACTGCTTCCCAGAGCTGAAAACATTGAAACACAGTTATCACGGCAGAGTAGATGGGTGTGCAGCCCAGACTGCAACCCCAGCAACACTCCTTCTGCACTGTATATTTTGAATAATGATCCCATTCCCCAAGCCAAGTTGATTGCGGTGTCCAGAGCTCAGTTTTAGAAACACTCCAGTTCTACTGGAAGGGGCTGCCATTTAGAACACACAATGGAAAGCAGCATCACCCATTCCCAATGGTAATAAACTCCTCAGGTCATTGCCTGAGCAGCTTGCATGACAGTAACCAGCATTATACACAATTTCTTACTCACTTGAACTCTTCCATAAATGTACCATGGTGAGCTATATTCTGCCAGAGGCTTTTGAAAATGGTGCTGATGTGGTAGCGGATGGTAAACTTGTCATAGAATTCACTGGTGGCTCCAGTATGTTCAACATCTGAAAAAGAAAACAGAGCCCAGAACCGAAATCAAAACTCGTTCCCACCAGGATCCACCTGCAACACACTACATCTATCCCCTGCTGTCTCCAATGTGATAAGCTGCAAGCACCAAGCTTTAAGAAATGAAATTCAATTCCCATTCAGAAGTCTCCATCTCAATCCCTATTGTAAGAAGCAGCACTGTCCATTTTCTAATCCAGAACCAACCTCATTTCTGAGGAAAAACCCTCAGAAAACAAAACTTTCTGTTCTATTCAACTCCACTCTGCTCTTCGTCCCACAGTCTAAAATTTCACTAATAAGACGACTCTGGGAACAATGCAAAAACAGTTGTTTCTATGGGTGCAAAGCCCTTTTGAAGCATCCAAATCTACAGGACTAACAAAATGGCAGACAGAGGTTTTAAAATCCCAATACTCCCTTACAAAACAAATAAAAAACTTCCAGTTTGGAACCTAAACACCACAAAACCAATTGTCACATCAATCTACACGCCTAGAGTTGTCAGTGCACAGCAGCCTGTGTAAAGACTAGAATTCTCAAGGTTCCAACTAACGCTATTTCCCCTATTCCCAAGCAACAAAGCCTCACCTTTACAAGCACCAAGATCTACTTGGTTTTTTGGTTTTGTTTTTTTAAAAGGTTACAACTACCACAACCTTTTGCCTTGTAATACTCATTGCTTACCGTACACTCAGTGAACTATAGATGAAGCATTTACCTGTGTAAAACTTCATCAAGGAGGGGACTAACAATTTAGTGGAGAGAGGATGATTCTCAATCATTTCAAAGAACTTTTGTGTCCGGGGCTGAACAGCTGGATTTGTCATGAACATCACTTCCACCAGCTTGGCTACTAAATAAGGGTTTCGGATGTAGTTCTGGTTGCACAGCATCACAACAAGGAACATCACTATGTCCTGAGTACAGGGCTCATAAAGCACCTGAGGAGCATATCTGGAAAGAGGGAGATAAGAAAGCAAAATGAAAAACCCCAACCCTGTATTGTCTACAGAAGATTTATCATACAGATCAAGTGAGGTCAGATCACTCATTAAGCAACAAGAAAAGTTTAGTCATTTTATCATAATTCCCCATCTTTTGCTACAGAAACTAGATTCTTACTCCTCCAAGAGGTCTTGCCAGCTGTTCACTGGAAACCAAATTTTAGCCTGAAACACTGTAATATTCTTTTGTTGCACATAATAGCAAATTTGCTATGAAGTACCACTGTAACAGCACCTCAGGAAGGCAAAAGCAAACACCATCTCATCACACAACACTGCGAAGTCTGAATTTGAAGGTACTTTTTCCGGAAGAAAGTGACCAGCTTCAGAACTCCAGGATTACATCTGAATAGTATTCATGCCCATCTAAACTGCTAAGACTATACAAATGCATTTCATCCCAGCTAATTTATAAATGGGGGAATTTTTTTATTTATTAAGCTATGACTTTTTAAAAATCTTATTCTAGTGATGATTTAACATATCATGAGATCAAAAGGACTCACAACTCCAAACCATAAAGTAAGTTTTTTTTTTTGGGAGGAAACCAAAAAACCTTCAACTTTCTTCCAAGAAAAAAATGAGGTTAGAAGGGACTCTGGAGCTCATCTAGGCATTATATCTGCAGCAATGCCTGCCAATGCCATAATCTTACGTCTGTTGTTAAAAAAACAGAACATTAACTACAGAATAGCTAGAAAACTACTTTCACACCCTAAATTTATGTGCACACCACCCATTACAGGGGTAAATGGTAGTACGAATTTCCTTTAGATATAACTTTACTTACTGTACAATAAAAAATAAAAATTCAGCAACATCTTCCACGTAAAACTCTGGCAATGCTGCAAATACCTTCGGAACCTCAGGAGTTAAAGGCAATTTTACGCTGTAGAATAAAAGAGACAAACAGGACAGTAAAATAGCAGGGTTAAATAGAAAGTATCACGAGCTCTCCTATGGAATTCTCCTATGGGAACACTTTACAAAAGTTCTAACACTGACTTTTTAAAAATACCTGTCAGTACTTCAAGCGTACTAAACATACCCAAGGGTTGCTCCCACCCCCACAACTGAACCTTAAACTATAAATAAGACATATATTCCATGCAAGAATTTACATCACTGACATAAAGAAAGTAACAATCGTGTAAGAATGCAGACACTGTAGAAAAAAAAATTAAAATTCTAGAACTGCTAAATTCACTAAACAATCTAACATGATCTGAAATATCTTTGATACAATTTTCACAGATAATCCCGACACTCACTTGGGATAGGCAGGGTCAAGAATGCGAAGCATCAGCTGAATCACCATGCCATAGAAATTCAGACATCTCCTGAGAAAGTTTTCATCCAGCAAACCAGCATCTGCACAAGCCTTGCACCTCACCAGTTTCTGCAGAATATACATACAAAAACTAATCCAGGGCAAAACAACATAAAAGGAGGGTCAAGCCTATCTAAGCTAATCAATATATCTGTGAATTATGATAATTCTACAATGGTATCTTCTTAAAATATGCTTATTTGAAGAACAGCACACTTAAGCCCCAACATATCAAGAAAAACACACACATAATTAATTCAGAGTTGCAGGGACAGAGGAGACTTTTACAAGCTTTATGGGAACAATGAAAGAAATAACAGAGGTATCAAAGTGGGAAAATGTGCAATTAAAGTAATTTTGGTGATACAGCTCAAAAAATTTGCATCATTTTATACTAGGAAGACCTAAGTGGGACAGACCTTCAAACGAGAGGACCCCAACATACTAATCGTTGCAAGAATTCTACGTGAGAATAGGTACTCGAAAGTTCCATCTCGATCTTGGGCATGGACTGTGCATGCACAACAACTACCCCTGAATAAATCGCAATCCCTTTGCTGTTCTCTCTCCAATAAAAACCAGTATTTTCTTCTTTCTGAGGAACACTGGCTAAGTTAGTCGTGGTGTTACTTTGAATTTTAAATTCACCATTAATGTTATAGTGTATCATCACCACCACCTAGTGCAGTACTCGCATGGTTCATAGATTCAAATCCACCATTTTCACAAAGCATCAGTGGGAAGTTTCATTTAAACATTAGGACACAAAGTAAACATACAGACAGGCTGACAAAGGCATTTAGTTGAGAACTGAATCACTTACAAACCTTAAGCTGTGTCTTGCAACGTTTCAGCATTTCTCGATGCCTGGTAGCAAGAGGAGAATCCTTCCATTGACTTTCATTGTTTTTCAAATCTTCAACAGTCCTGAAAACCATATGCAGTAATTGATTATCATGACAGAGGGAATATGTACTGCCATAGAGCGGTCAAGCATTGGAACAGGCTGCCCAGAGAGGTGGGGGAGTCCCCATCCCTGGAGATGTTCAAAAAACGGGCAGATGTGGCACTTTGGGACATGGTTTAGTGGGCATGGGGGTGTTGGGGTGACAGTTGGATTGATGATCTTAGAGATCCTTTCCAACCTTAATGATTCTGTTCTTGTTCTACTTTCATTAAAAATTAATCCAGCCACCAAGGCAGGAGTTGTGAAATTAATTATTACTCTACCCTTAACTGGTTTAGTGGCAGACTGGGCAGTGTTAGGTTAATGGTTGGACTGGATGATCTTAAAGGTCTTTTCCAACCTAAACGATTCTATGATTCTATACTTACCTGCTAAATACTGAGGAAATATTGAGAAGAAAAAGTAGGGGAAAAAGCTAATAATTTTCATAGAAGTTACCCATCATCATAACAAGAAAAAGAAATTGCTTTCATAAATGCAGACTGAACATCTGCACAGTGTGCATTCAAAAGCACTACGTACACTAGCTCCAACATACATGCCTGTCAGACAAATCAGAACAGTGCAAAAAAAAAAAAAAAAAAGGATGAAACACAGAAGGGATCTATCCTGCCTGACAAACTAATTTTATCCACTGTATTAAAAAAAAAAAAAAAAAAAAAAAAAGGTATTTGCCTTTCTTCACACTAAAGTCTACAGTCACTCTAAAGGAAGGTTAAAAGGATGTCATTAAAATTAACCCTAACACAAAGAAGGGCTGGTCCAGTTAACAGCAACATATTTAGAGATCTCATTAATCTTCTAATAGCAGAAAGGAAAATGGAAAACAAATCAGCTAAGGAAGAAAAAGGTGGCTGACAACAGGATTGTTAGAAACACCTTCCTTTTCCCAAGAAAGGTACAAGTCTACATCCTGTGTATCTTCCCACTTTCCACTGCTGTAAATTATTTTTTGCAGTTTTGTTCCACCCTTTTTATGCTCCACTCTCCATAAAATTCTGGTTTGCAGAGGAGTACAGTACATAAATAGTCTATAGGCTCCCTGCCAGCATAAGGACCAGTAAATTAAGGTGGTTGATATTACCTCCCCCCCCTTACCCACCCTCTCACTCTGCCCCACAGATGAGAGAACTTAAACATACATTACACACACCATTTACATTAAAAAAATCCTATGTATTCCCATATCTTAATCCTTTTTAGGAAGGGCAGCCGATTAGAACAAAACTCAGTATACTGAACAATATGAACACGGTCCCTTTTCATTCCCCCCTCTAAACATGAATTCTTTTCCACATCAATCTCTGCCTATGGCAGAAAAACATCCAGTCTAAATTTCTTTATTACCAACATCTAATTACGTTGCCCAGTGTTGCAAGCAACTAAGCAATTCATGGAAAAAGCTGAACAAAAAGCTCCTACTGATGTCAGTAAAAGCCAAGAGCTCTTCACTCTGCACCGTTAGACGGAGATTGCTGCATAAGCAACTCCTTCCCAACAATTCTAAATAAGGAAAAAGAAGCAATTCCTTTTTCAAGCCAAACGTATGGCTTGTTTACAAGTAATCCACAGGCTGTTTTATATGAAAATACTTTTTTCTTTAAGATATACTGACTCTTCCTGCTCCATTTCTCTGCAGCTTCCCAGGTTCTTGGCCTGCATGTGCTTTAAAAACTAGAAATTAAATCACTATGAATGCAGTCCACAAATCCTGTAATGAACTCATGGTATTACTGCCAAAGAACATTTACCAAAATGCAATGAGTGCAATTATAAACAATGGAAAATACTGATTATACAAAAATCTGTTCTAATTTTAACATAGTTTTCTTTGAGGTTTAGCAACTATAAAAAAGTCTATTTGAATTTATGCCAAGAGAAATAGAAAACAGCAGTACCTTCACATCAATATCATAATTTTTATTTATAATTTTTAAAATGTTAAACCACATGCTGAATTACATGTACATCAACAGTATTAAGAGTTTACTGCTGAAGACCTCCTTCTCCCCCACCGTGAGTATGACAGAAGCCAAGGGGAAAAAGGTAAATATCTTCTGGGACATACAAAACAGCTCAGACACAACTAACAATGTCTTGTTTCTGAAATCACAAGTCATCTACAATGACTTGATTATCAGACATGTAACTTCATATGCATTCCTACAGTTATGTCAAAGAGCCAGAGGCACTTATGTCCACACACCATCAAACACACCACAGGTTAAGTTATAATAAACAGCGTTACGTAATGTCATGAATCCTAAAATGCTGTGAAAATAGTTCAATTATCTTTTAAAGAGAATGGTCTTCTCACCAATGAGCTGCCTTGTGTAACCAGTATCTTCCATCTCACTACTATCTGAATTCCTGATTCAAGCCACAGTCCCTGAACATAAGCAAAAATCCGTAAGGGCCAAAAGCAGCAGACTGACAAATAGTTAAGCTGATATGCACTCAGCAACAGTTTTACCCAAATTGTCATTCTAATTTCCATTAAGGTTATAGGACTTGCCATCACGGCAAGACGATGACATTGCTATGATGGTAGGACTCTCAGATACACTAGATAATTAACAACAACTAACCTGTTGAGTTCCCTGATGGCCCGCAGTCTACGTATGTACCGACGGCAGCTTGGCAGGATTGAGAGATGATGGGCATGCAGAGTTAGGAAGAAACATTCTGTTGGGAATTTCGGCTCAGAAAATGGAGACGGATCCCTGTCTAGAAAACAAACAAACAAATTAAAAAAATTAACTGCCTTATCTAGTGGTGAAACCTTGAACTGAACTTTCTTTAAAAGAAGTAGAGCAGACAGCAACAAGAAAAAGCATTTAGGAATAGGGGAATTATTTGCTGGAATCAAGTACTTCCATGTACCTCCAGTATCAAAAACAAAAGGCAGAGTAAATGCTCAACATATCTCAATAAAAGTACTGACAAAGTTCAGCAATCCAGGCTGTAACGTCCTCCATTGTTGCTTTCACTCTTGTCTCATCTGTTGGGAGGTCAATACGACACCTGGGATGAAATATGTACATGGGATCAACTGTTTCCAGCTTTATCTTCGTACTTAGTTGCTGTAGTACCCATAAGAAGTTGAGCATAAAGCCATCTGTAGATACCAAACGATCATCTGTCTGTGGGGTAAGAAAGTAAATAGTTGAAGACGTAAGTTTAGAAGTACATGGGTATTTTCCACTGCTGTAACAGCATTCAATATAAATGAGTTACACAAGTTCAAGAAAAGGGAGAAATTATGAAGGATATGGATCTGTAAGGAGACCTTTGTGGTAATGGGAAGGTCACTACTACCTTACATATTATCTTTCTCTATGGTTCAAGTAGACATTCTCAAGAACATTAAACAAACATACAAAAAGAAGTAGAAGACAACCTAAGAAATTGAAAGCACTTAAAAGGGCCTCTTTCAAGAATGGTTTGCCACAGATATAGACAGCAACAGAACAGTTTCAAACAGTTGCTGAGCTTCAATTCATAAGTTTTAAGTGTGAAGTTTCTATTACTTCTTCACTGGAATTTCACAGAAATACTCCTAGTAATGGCTCCAAACGTTTGCTTTTGAAAAGGGGACTCGAAGACAACAATGATGCAAACTTCAGTTGTTCAGGATTGATGCACAGATTTCATCACAGGAAATGAGTGCAATGCATTAATTAAACAATGGCAAAATAACATCCCTGTTGTTTCACTGGAACCATGCCAGTTCCTATCTGCATTACTCTTTTTACAGAAACCATACAAACCAAGTCTAGCAATTCACCAGCTGGAAAATAAAGTTTTTTAAACATAGCCAATTGGAATGAACAAAACCCCCACAGATTTGGGAGGGAGGGGCGGGGGCGAAGTACAGAGCTTTAAACATCTAACATAGAATCCCTGTTAATGAAGTGACATGTCAGTCCTAAGAGAGGAAACAACCTGATCAAATCGGTAAAACAGTATAATTTCAGAAATGGGAAATGTATTGAAAGAAATAAAGACTGATGACAGTGTTTCTAGCCCATTGTAGTAGTCATTCAAAATTCTTTTGTCCTCCCTTCATAGCCACCACTGCATGAGCCATCTAGTGCTATTTGTGCATTGACTAGGTCCATGAGTTACAGGAAGAGTGTTTATTTACCTGCATTTGTGCCTTTTTCATGTTGGCATTGACAATAGCTGCCATGTAACTGAGAGCTGCTTCTCGAGTTTCACCATTCAGTAAAATACTATGTAGAATCTTGAACAACTCTTGCTGGAATTACAAGTAAACATTTTGTCAGGTTGCACATTCTTCTCAACATCGCACTCCTGCTTTCTGTTGCTCCATATTTTTATGTTCTTCAAATTCCACAAAACTAACTACAATTTCTGTTATGGTCTTACGGTCAACATTATATGCATATATTAGTTATGAAATCAGTTACACAAAAGATGTATGCAGATTAGTGCAACACACTACTAATACAGTATGCATTTTATTACTCATCCTTTAACATGAACTATAATCCATGACTAACTGTTCTGTTATTTTCTGAATTGGCTTACAGCCTTAGAGAAATATTTGTAGCACTCTAATTTTTTTCTTAATTTTTTCCTAATTCCCTTCAGCCATATCCTAAGAGATTTGTTTTTTAATACAGAAGCTAGATTATTTTAGATTATATTCTTCATCTATGTCAAGACCAAAAAACCCACAATATTTTTGCCTTTTTTTTAAAAAAAAAAAACAAACAAAAACATGAGAACACTTACCCTTGCTAATTCCAGGTAATGTTGCAAAGACTGGCTAACAACCCGGGTGTTTTCAAGAGTAATTGCAGGCCCTGAGAAATACTTTTCAACTACTTTGTTCTGAAAGTAGAATGAATATTGGCAAATGTATCAAACATTTTGGGGAAGGAGAAAAGAAAATAAACAAAAAAAACCCCCCAAAACCCTCACCATGCTACTATCAACATCCTTCTGTAACACTTACATCATCTTCCGCAAAGACAGAGAGACTGAAGAAGGCTCCAAGATAGGAAAGTCTTTGCAGCTCTCTTCCTGCACCTGCGCTTAAAGATTTAGGCAACCACAAGGGCAAAGAGACAACCTAGAAAATAGGAGAAATAGCAAGTTAATCAAAGCTGCCATGTCAGCCACACTACCTTATCTGCACTGTCACCTTTCAGTATTTGCCACGTGCCCTCAATTCTTCAATATTCAGTCATGCTGATAGCTAAATGGAAACATCTCCTCAGTATTTTAGCAACCTAAGCAAGTCTTGTTTGTCCCAGTTTTTCCAAATTCTAAGGGAAAATGACTCCCTTTACCAGTTTACTTTAAACTATTGCTTAGCATGAAAAACTACAGTGGGCTACTGTTTAGAGTTCTGAAGAGCATTATCAATGTTGATTATATCACATAACAACAAAGTAAGTTCCATGGCTCCTTTAACTTGGGGGGAGGGGGGATCAGACTCGATACACTTACCAAGCTGCACATAGGGTGTGTTTTCCCAAACTTGATTTCACAAAGTTCACATAGTGCCTATAAAGAAATCCCAAGAACGAATTACACACAAAAGTAATTTTGAGCAACCTGTCTGCAAATAACAAGCTTAACACGGTAAACTGCTGAAAGAGCCAAACCTTCTTCCCTTAACCAGTGGAAAAACTTCCATCTTCTACAATGGTGAAGAGGTCCAAAAAGAGCTAGAGCGCACCCTGCTCCCATTTTAGCTTTTACATCTGTTCCAAGTTGTCTCAAAAAAGCTAACATGTCTCACAGGATAATAAATTATTGCACTTATTTCAAAAATTAGCTGTGCAAATTGTTTGTTTGTTCAGAACATAACAATGTCTTTGCTGGACTCCTGAACTGCCACATAAAAGTCAATAACAATAATAAATAGAGCAATTGTTCTATACATACACCAAGGCCTTTGTCTTTTGAATCAGAGTGGAAAAATGTCAGATGAACACAGAAGCCAGAAACAAAGAATCCTATCCAAGATCTCTACCTCACTTTCAACTGCAGCACAGAAAAAAGAAAGCAGTTATAACAGACGATTCTGAAAACACAAAAAAAACTGTAGGCTTTCACATATCCCGCTTCTCCATATTACGTGTTCTCATTCTTCAGTTACACTATTGCTAGTAACTACTATTCCACCCTTTTGGTGCACACTGTGCCAACTAGAGATGTTCATAATGGAACATCACTTTCAAGGAGCCCTTACTTGTAGCCAACAGCCAAATTTGCAACAGTTTGTAATTTAAACTTGGGGGGGGGCAACAGTAGAGCAGGAAAACACAGAATCAGCAAAAATTGTTATTTTTGCAAAAGTACCAGACTTGCTTAGTCAATTTGATTTGCAGCACCCCAGTCCAGCTAATTTCTTGAAGTACAAATTAAACCTGAGATGTCAGAGCCTTTTTTGGCATCATACACTGAAGATCCTAAAATCTGAAGGTGCTAGCTGACAACGCTCAATTTAGCCAAGAATTCAGCTTGCTCTTTTGTGGCCAAGCATGCTTTTCAAAAGACTTTTTTGTTGACAATAAAAGCAGATCTAGGGACTAAAGTATGCACTTAAAAAAACCCTAGAAATAAACCCCCCAACTTTTCAGCCAGACACTATTATGACATTTTCCTACAGTAAACAGTCACCAATTCAAATAATTTTGGGTTTAATGCAATAGCTTTTGGTTTCCCACATACAAAAGTGAGCCCAAACATTGGTATGGATATTGGGCCTTATTTCCCAGACTTAAATTGGGAGGAGCTCAGCAGGATTTTATAACAGTCCACAGTATTATAACTAGTATGCATGATGAAATCCATACATTTGATTAATCTTATATAAAGCAATACATATAAACATTTGAATAGCCCACTATACAAACTCTCTACTTTAAGATATTATTGGCCTCAGACTCCACTGGATTTTTAATGGCCTTTTACGCATCTCTTACCACATTAAGCTTCCAACAGAGAGTTTAGTACTAATCCACTAACCAAAGCCAGCCCCAAAATGTTGAAGTACATTATCTTGTATAGAATCTGCATAATTTATCAGTAATCATAAAGAAACTGCTTCTAGAAATGAACAGCCCTTACCATAAGGGGGTATTTAAAATTGTCACTATCAAGGGAGCACTCTTTGGAAGCTACAGCTAGGCCTTGTAAGATGGGAATAAAGATCTGTAAAAACAAAAGTAGATTACTTCATTCAAGAATAGGAAGCAATCAAATGACACTATTGCTGTACACAGCATGAAATTCTTGTTAATTCTTCAAATACTGCAAGGTACACAAAAGAAAAACTAAGATCTTTTCTTTAAATTTGTATCAGTTAAGCCTGCATGCTTATGAGATTATTCAAAGCTAAAAACCAACTTGCTTGATATAGTGTAAGTGATGTATTGACTTGATGCCTGAGCAGAACTTACCCACAATAACTCATTTCCAAGAACTTGTAGGTATTTTTCCTGATCACATTCTAACTTGTTTCCAAACATTTACTTTGCAAACCAAATAACCCCAGAGACATGTACATCTAGATCTGGACCCAAAGCTAACAGATACAAGCTGAAGCTGACAAATAGTATGTCAGCACACTGACAAAAATCAGGTGTTCCATCAAGTTCTCTGCATGTGGAAGCCACACGGGAAAGCATACACGCATTTCATGCAGGATCACTGTAGGTACTGTATGCACATGTGCAAGCATGTGTATTATATACACAAACAAAAGCAGTTCTGTAGAGGTCTCCAACAACTTGATTGCCCAAATGAGAAATAATTTATTTGCCTATACACTTGGGGTATAATACAGCTTTAATTTTGCATGTCATGTAAGCAAGTTGGTTTTGTGCTGGTGAGTCGTAACTGTGGTAAGAGGAAAGATAATAAGCAGCAGTCAAGGATTGTTATGAAAGAGGAAGTGACATGACAGGAACTTATTAATCAAAAGTCATTACACCAAATTAGTAAGTCTGAATCATATAGCTCTGACAACTATATCCTCACAAAATAAACTAATATAAGTTTTGCAACAATAACAAGAGGTCCCACTGAATTTTAAATTCAAGTATATTGTGTTGCTTTTATGAAGAGACAAAAAATATTATTAAATCATGTTACAGAAAAGGACTATGAAGAGGTTATTGTCTGCTTCAGCTAGCAGAATGGCTCTCTTCTCCAGAGTAGGTGACCTTTAACACTTTCTGTAACCACATTTTGACAGCCTTAAATGTACTTTAAACTGCATGAGCCTCTACTAAAAGGTGTCCAGACAAACATATAAACTATTAAAAGGTACTTGCACTACACATAAAAATTAGTTAATGCCATTTTCTTCAAAATTGGAGGGATCAAATGCCATTCTGAATAGTTCACTTCAACATTACATACATGTTCCCTGCTTATTAACAAATGCATTTTTAATAGTTCGAAACAGCAAATAGTCCAAGTCAGTCTTTTTCACAAACTGTTAAATGAATTAAAAATGAACAAAACCAAACTCCAAGTGCTTAACAGGTTGCTAGCCCCTGAAGTAACAGGTCTATACATCTGCAAGATGCAGAATAAACCGCTGGAAATCCACTCTCTTGGATATTGGAAATAGTAGAATCGTATGATATAATTATTTTTTACCTACGCCTTACCTGTTTGAACACCTCTTCATCCTGATAAGTTGTTCTCACCAATTCTTGGATGAAGCCAAATGGGAGATTCCTACACAGCATATATGGTACCAGCAAAGACTGCTGCTGCAATGACCTTTATTTGTATATAAAAAAAAATACACAAAATTACTGATTTGCAGTAGTATTTGCAAAAAATGTCAGAGTAATCACATCTAAGGATGTGCCAGAAAGCATATTATCAACACATAGACACACCTACTCCTTTCAGAAGTAACTAACCTTGTCTTCTTAAGTTACTTGTGGAAAGGTTATTCTGAAACAGATGCTGCTGCCAACATCACACTTTAGTTTAATGAGACTGGAAGAAAATAACAGCTTCTGTGTAGTAATTGGTTCTCCCTTCTACTCCTCTAATGAAAAAACGCTTTGTTAAGCTCAACTAGTGAAGGAACAACATTTTTTGATGTTTGCTTTTCCAGATTAAGAGAAGAACATAACATTAGTCTTGTTTGAATTTTTGAAGAAGTATCTTTTTTTCCTTATTGTATATGTAAAACTTTATTCTAATGTCAACAATGGTTCGCATAAAGACAAACTTAATCTCAAAGCACAGTGGATAATTGGTGCACCTTTAAAGATTATAGAAGTTTTGTTTGGAAACACAAATACAAAATTGTGCAGATTTTAGTAAAAGTCATATATCATATTTTAAAAACCTTTTCCCTGTTCTAACTGAACAGGCTGCTAGTTAAACAACTGCTGTTGAAAAAACTGCACTTGAAATCTCAGAGCCTTGATTTAGTGTAGAACGTCTACACACAGATTTACGTTACCAAATCTGTTGTGGTAAACTCTCTGAAGTAAACAAGTGCTATGTCACTATAGCAGATTTTGCTACACATTTTGATAAGACCATTTCTCAGATGCAGCACTACTGGTTATTGATTTTCACAGGAGTAGTGCCCCAACGATCTGCAAGTAAAACAGTTTATGCATGAGGTAAGGCAGAAAACAGCTTGGTTAAGACAGAGCCCTCATTTGAGCTGTTCAAATCAACTGGGACGATTTTACCCAAACACAATTAGAAAACACTTAAACTACTTCTCCACCAACATATCAGTGGGAGCAATAGTCTCCAACAGTAAAGCTATTATAATAGTAAAGCTAATAGTAAAAAAACTATACCTCTGGCACATAAATGTATCCTGCTTCAAAAACTTATCTTAGTTTTCTTATCTAATCCTCAGAAGAAAAAAAAAAAATCCCAGAACAATCTAACTTTCATGACTAACATCAGTTGTATTTACCTTGGTTGTGTTAAGGATCCCTGTAGCACCAAAGCAGCATGTGAAATGCACTGTGATCGGATGTTGCTCAGTAACTGGCTAACTGTTGGCTGGCTACACATCTGATAAAAATAACTTTATTTTAATACAAGCTAGAAGTATTCAGAGACAGAACAGACAGGAAATATGATCAATTTATTTATTCATGCAGTATGAATGTGATATGCAAACTAAGATTAGCACTACTAAAAACCTTGCAGATTTTTATATAAAAAGTGTTGTTTGTTTTTTTCCCCAGAAACAAAAGTTTAAAGCAGAATATAGAACACTGATAGGGAACTGGTCTCACAAAAGTATGTTTTACATGGAATAAACTTGGATAAAATGCAGTAGATCAAAAGGGGAAGGATGGTTTCTAACACAGTGCTTATTTTAGAGATGCAAAACATATACATGATTCAAATTGATGAATTGATAAGTCAAAGGGACCTTATAAATTCTATAAATCTATTCCTACAACAAAACCATCCAGAAAGAACTATCAACTTCCACTAACTTCCCCACTAAACAGTAAGAGTGTCTGTGACAGCAACTGATACAACTTCACTCATCGAAATATACCTTTGGTGCTTTCCTCTCCTCTATTCCAACTCTGTCAAAACACTCAATGAGGTAGTTCAGCATCTCTGTCTCCTTACAATTTTCAATGGTGAAGTGGTCACTGCAGGAATCGGAAACACTTGAGCTGCCAGAGCCTCCCATACTTTAAAACACACAAAAAGAAGAAACAAAGCGTTAGGTACAGTCCTTCACTTGCGCGCAATCAAATAATTCACAAGCTCTTGACTTCCTCTGTCAATTTTCTGAAGACTCCATCCCATCACACAAGGCTCAATAATTAAGATCATTTCTGTAATCTACGAAGAGCTCTCCATTTAACAGCTTGTCCAACTCTGAAAGTTCAGCTGTATTGTAACATGACTGAAGAATCAGTTATCTTATTAAGTGAGTAAGTATCTGAAAGACAGCAATAAAGTGCATGACTTCAATGGGAATCAATAGATCTTGCTCTCTCACGGCAACGCCAAAAACGAACAGCCTTTAAGTTGTACCTGACATCAAAACTGTTCAGATGCTCAGGACATCACAACACTTCCATGCCATGATGCAGCCTCTGCACAGTTTCTGCACAGTCTCTGTATATAGCATTCAAAATGGTAGAAATTTCACCAACTCTGTTAACACTAGAAAACCCATGGAGGTAAGATCCTGCCACTGCAGAGAAGAGACCTTAGCTGATAGATAGGGCTACAATCACTTTATATATTCTAGGGAAGGAGAATAAACAAAACAGGAGACAATACATAAAAGCAACTGTTCCTTTCAAAATTTCTACGTTAAAGATCATTACTTTCAACTCAGTTCATTTCAATTCCCTTACAGTAAAATATGCCATTTCATTACGTAGCACAGCTTCAGGGTGGAAAAAAGAAAACACTGATATTGTAAACACAACAACTAAATCCACAAAAAAAAAAAAAACATGCTTGAGACAAGGGAGACATTAAATACAAAAGTGAGAACAGACCCCACAACTCTCAATCTCAGACTTGTTATCTCAACAGAATTCTTGTCTATAGAACAGCTTGGCAAAGCTAATTAAAAGCAAAATCCTCACTTTGCAGAAGGGAATTAAGACAAGATATATTCGTTTTATGTAAATGGAATTAAAAATATAGCAGTTACATGGATGGTCTACTGCTATTCCTCAAAGAAAACTCTGTGTACAGTCAGGGTGGATTTAAATGAAGCCCAATTTATAAGCCCCAGATCTTAAACTGGAAAACAAGAGTATTTGTTTCCTTAAATGCAGCTTTTTCAAAACATGTCTAAGACTACAAACGGTGTCATAACTGGAATTTCCTTTAAACTGTAAAATAACTTACATTTTAATACTTGAGCTGTACAAATCTATTGTGCAAGCTTTACAGTCCAACCAATAAATCAGGGAAAGGTTATTACTGCTAAGCATTTGGTAGCTCAGCATGTTAAGAAATGTAACTTCTAATAGCAGCAATCTCTTTTTGCAGAGAGAATTTGTTTTCAGTTATTCAAACTAATCCATGTAAAATGTAGCTCTATTAAAATAGTACTCAGTAACCATGAAATCACACACACGTACTCTTTTTTATAGCCTCTCTTTTAAACCTCTTGACTTCTCACATTCAGCTTAAAAATTACTTTTAAGAACATCAATTTATATTAAAAAAATACTACTTCTATAGTTAATCATTCTTTTAATGATTTCACTGCAGCAGTAACTGAAATTATTCTAATGCAAAGCTCATACATCTGTCGCACACATATCGAATGCCTTGGTATTTTCAGAATGCAAGTTATTGCATAATTGTCCTGTCATTCTGTTTATAATTTAACTAACATCTTACTGCTGTCTGCAGAATGCCAGGACATAATTTACAAACTCGGGCTCCAGAAGCTTAGCAGCCTCAGAAATCCTTACCAAAGGCTTTGCAACTCAATCCAACATTTGGATTAAACTGCCAACAGGGTAAGAATTAAACAAAACGGTGGGGAAAAATAATCCTAAATTCCATGTACATGAAAAACCCTACACCTTTGTTACGAAGTTCACCCCCTTGAAATTAGACTGGAATGGGAAATAGAAGATGCTACTGGAAGGTCTTCTAGTTAGCAGTCTGACTTTAGCAGTAGTGTCCCAGCATACCACACGAACAATCACAGACAGAAAAGCTAGTGGGGGGAAAAAAGATCTTCTCATACCAAGTCTTCTTGGGCATTCCCTGACATCCCAAGATATTTCCTGAAGTCTTGCCCTAGCTTAGTTTTAGAAGGCTCAAGCAATTAGATTTCCCCTGACTTTTGCTGTAACTAAAATACTTCAAAGGGGACTGAAAGTCTTGGAGGAACTCTTTTCCTTCCAGTTGTTCAAAATGGCATGCAGTCTTTCAAACTCTCGTCTTGTTTCCCTCATACATTTGTAAATTGCAACTGGCTCCATCAGGCTATGTGGCCAGCTGTAGGCCACCTCACAATTACTATCGATCATAATCAGGGCTCTGAATGCTCACAGAAAGTGTTCAGGATACTAGGAAGTCTACAGAAGTACTTTTTTTCAGAACAGTCTTCCTAAAATACATGGGGTTTATATAAAACATTTATTCTTTTCTCCAGTTTGGGTTGATACAAAAGAATGGGGCATTTCTTTGGGAATTTTGGTGCATGTGATGAAGCTGATGAATGTTAAGTTTTAATGGGAACAAAAAGAAATGAATCCTTTTCACCAACAGACTAATAAACAACACAAATCATTTGGATATGACAAACAGTTCTGTAAGAGGGCTGCTCATTTTTCACACCAAAACCTCAGTCCTAATAGGAAAACATTTCTCTATCAGCCAAGACATTGCAGCATTACTCTGCAATGGAATGTAAAACTAGAGAAGATCCTACCCCGCATTTACACTTCCAAAAGCTTTTTTTTCCTTGGCATATCCAGTGTTCTGCAGGTTTTTTTGCACAGCTAACTAGCTAGCTTCCAAACAGAACTCACTAATACCAATTCTCATTTTGTTTTCACATATCTTAATGTCACACAAATGAAGGGGCTTTGCTATACAATTCAAAAGTCTCTGTTTTACAGTAAAATATTCTGCTCTTACCCCTCCATTCTTGGCTGGTCCAACTACATCAGCCTCTACTACTTACCACGTCAAAGGACCAGTTTAAACTTTCAGGTGTGTTTTCTTTACAGGCTAGAAGAGTGATCCTCAGCTGTCAAGCAGCAACAAATCTTCAACAAAGTCATAGTGTTTGCATCATCCGGCTATTTGCCACTGTGTCTTTTTCTACACGTTAACCTTTGCCCTCATTTTCCAGTTTTTGATAGGAAAACATGCACATGATGTATCACTGGTTTTAAAGTTACAACCGTGGGTGAATAATATTCCTTCTACTCATATGGTCAATGAGGAGTTCCGCTCAAACATCATTTCAGAAACTATGCTCATTAAACCTAAAAGGCACTACGATTAACATTTACTTTATCTTAGTCATCTCTTCAAAAAAGAGCTGACTAACTAGCATTCATTATACATGTTTATACACCATCTTAAAAACCCATGCAAGTCATCTCGTTGGCTTTAGTCATTTTCCACATTACTTTGAAGAACACTTGACACTACACAGACTGTTAGTTCCTAAGCAACCAAGCATGCAAGTTACATTCTCTTTCTCCGATACCTGGACCCAAACTGGACACAAGAAAAATCATCATCTTCATTTTCTTCATCACTACTGTCCTCAGACACATCAGAAACGGCAAGAAGGAGGAGGGAGAAAGGGTTGTCGTATATACTACCACAACAAAAATGAAAAAGGCCATCAGATCTTTTAAGCCAAAAGAAAAAGTAAATGGTAGCTTTTCTTTGTAAGTCTGCCAAAAATCATCTTCTCTAAACATGCAGACAACAGATAACTCCATGTTAGTAAAACCAAGGCTATACTAACATGCTCTGTTATACTACCACAAGTTATTCACATATCAAAACACCACACGCTCACAAACCAAAAGTTTAAAAAGAATTCTGAAGACCTAATAAAAATTATGGCTGAAGTGGGAACATTTAGACATGACTGAATAATAAGTACTACAATTCTAAGCTACTGAACTTTAAAAGCAGTGGTCTCAAACCCTTGCATGCTTTTGTTTTCCCCTCCTGCAGGGACTGGGGATTCCAGGAGCAGCCAACAGAGAAAATGCAGCAGTACTTGGCCTGGCACACTGAAATAGGCTAATCTGTAATTTAAATCTATGCACCAGGGAATCAAATCTAACACAGTCCAGCAAGTAACAGCTTTCAACAAATCAAGTAAAGCCCTACTGAGAAACCTGATTTCAAAGCAGGAGGTCTGTTTTGTTTACTATCCAGCAGTAGCAACTGAACAGAAAGCTAATAGTTTAACTGGAATGGATGCAAGAAGAGGAGGAAATTAAAACAATATTGCTACCTGTAGTAATTACATTACACCTCAAATGCTCACAGAAGCAGGTTTAATACTTTGGCAAAGATAGCTGGTTAGCAAGTCAACATATTAGCGCAAATCAAAACACAGAAATCAACTCAGGGTAAGTAGGGTAAGCTCAGCACAAACTTAAGTTCTTCCAAATTGCCCGGTTATGCCACACCC